TATGATAAAAATTACAGGACTCTCTCATCTTTTTAAGTGGGAGAACTTGCACAATTGGTGGCTGACTAAATACTTTTTTGCCCCACTGTACAATTGTACACTTAAGGTTAAAGTCAGCCACATATATTATTAGCCAGCTCTAATTATGTAGTAATTGCCTGGTAGCTGAACAGCTCTGTGTGCAGCATTATGTAAGATAAATGTAACGAGCTGTCGGAGAACCCTGGATATATCATCTGATATCATTATTGCAGTACAGTAAAATAAAAAATGTGTCTGTTAAAAAAAGATTATTATTGGCCCATATATTAATGATTAACTCAACTCAACTCAAAATCCAGTATTTGGCAGGCTATACTCGGCCAGATTACAAATTTTGATTACATTTTCTTTTGCCATGCTACGTACAAATCAGGGTTTGCTGCCGCAGCTTCTTCCACCACCCAGACATCCTCTTTATGTGCTAAGCTTTTGCTGTTGTTGATTTGCCTAAGACTTGCTCCAGCAGAATCCTTGTTGCTGCTTTGCTTAGATTTTTTAAGCTCCCTCAGAGAGCACAGTCCTTGCTGCTGAATCCAACTGTTTAAACATTAGTCATAAATGTCCATTCACATGCACTGTCCAGGTAGTTTCCCGCCACATACATCAGGGACTCAACGCTTGTCAGTAAAGGGGTGCCGGTTCAGTCCTTAGACCACAAGGGTAAGTCTTGATGGGAAAGTGAATGGGCCATGCTTGTCTGCTTCTCATTACCACCCTTCAGTTGTGACTGGATATCTGCTCCCAGCCTCACTGTGTGAAATCTGCAGCTCTGTTCTCTCCCTCACACTTGTCTGAGTTTGTTTTGGTGAAGGTAAATTCAGACAGGCTGGATTAGCTAGAAACCTGATGCTCTAAATCCTCTTAAGAATTAATCAGTACATCTACACACATCAGGGCCGTACGGGTCTTGGACAGATATTGCATCGATGAATACCCTTTTTGGTTCTCACTTGCTGTAACATGTTGTCTTTTGCATCAACAGGTTCACCAAAGTGGCACCCATGTTCCTTGATCCAAATTACAAGCGATTCTCCAAGATCAGTGACTATTTGCCTCCGTTTGGAGTAAAATCACAAGGTATGATTCTTGTCCAGATAAACTAAATGGAGTGCATTTCTCACCAGCTACAATTTTTCTAACCACTAGCTGCAAAAATACCTCAGCACTGTCAAAGCCTCAGTATGCTTTAGACCTTTTTTAGAATTTGGACACCTCTAAAGGCAGGGTCACGCAAATAAGTCTTTTGTGTGTCTTTGTAGTCTTGACACAATGAATCATACAAATGGGAATAACTGAGCACCCTTTGGGGGGTCAAACCCTACTTGCACAACTCCTAACACCTGCTTGAAGTCAGTGTAATTGTCAGAATGTTACACAAATTGTGAGGTTTCAGACGTTGTTAGACGATCTGACTCTGCTGTTTCTTTTATTAGGAACAATTCAATCTTAAGCGATGGTGTAATGGATTTATGATGTGATTGTAGCAATTGCATAAGCCTAGTGCTGACTTGTCACTGAGCCTTATAGTCAAATCTGACAATAACAAGGTTGTCATGACATAACCTCTCCCTCAGCTGGCTTCCATCAGGCAGAAAATGTGTTGTTTAAAAATGCTGTTCCATTAGTTGGCCATTTCTGTACAGTGTCTCACACATAACACTCCCTCGTAGGAGCTAGTGGAGTGTCAGTAGGCCCCTATCTTGCTCGGCCACCCGTCTTTAATGGTTGTATAACATTGTAACAGGAAGAAGTGTCAGCCCACCCAGCCGTTGGCTCCCGGCCTGCCTCATTTATCACAGCTAGTCTAGTTCGGCTGGAGATGAGGGATCCATAGCTAGGTGGAATGTGGAGAGAAGAATTGTTTCACTTTCATCCTCATCTCACTTGTTGTTCTCTCTTTCTGCCTCTTTCTCTCTCTTACAGAGAAGATCATAGATATTCTTCTGTCAGCTACTAAGAGCTATGGCCTTGGGGAAGAACTCGACAAGTAAGTTAGTGCTGGTTGTTCTGTCATGATCTGATCCATACAGTGCCATTATCAAAACATCCCCTACTTCCATTTTCTTTAATAATCTGTAAAGCTACTATTCAGAGAGTTTATAAAGTGTTGATGTTGTCTGTTTATAACTTTTAAGAATGCACACACAAGCCGTGGTTCTATCCAAATGCGTCACAGATTTTAACTGAATTTTCTGCAGAAGAAGCAAAATGCAAATGAATGCTTGTTTGCATCTGTTACCATTGTGCGATTATTAGGGAGTTGGTTCATAAGATAGGCAGTAGGTGGCGGCAATGCTCTAATCAGAAAACAAGGACAAGAAAGAGCAACAAGATGACGTAATAAAAGAGTGTCAATCAAAGCTTTAAGTATAAAAACAAATAAGAAATAAGGATGGAAATATGACATTTCTGTTCATGGATGTCTTATAGAAACATGAGGAGACTGTCGGAGCGTAAACAGTTCATCAGTCATGAATCGCAAAGCTGCGTCAAGTTCCGACAGCCACTAGAGCTGATCATGCCCATTCTAGACAATGCTGGTGATTCCACCAGAAGTGTCTCTCTGCTCTGTATATCTGGCCCCTCTATTTTTTATGGAAGCTGCACCGCTAGATGCCACTAAATCTCAATAAATGCAAAACATACAGCAATACAAACAAAACTCTTTATACAGTACAATATTTCATCTGAACTCATCAATTGGTATAAAGGTTGAATCTAGATTTTTCAGCACAAAATACACAAATCTCTACTTTTTTTTTTTTTTACAGTATACTTAGATTACCTTCATATCTTACATTTATGGATAACCCAAACTAACACACAAAAATAGCTTTAAATCCAGTTCTTCATTTGACCCTCTTGAGCTTAAAGTGCCCAATTTGGAAATCTCTCTTAAACAGTAGCTTCTGTTAATCTTGCCTGAAGCCATGTGTTGACCCTGGTCAGGAAAATGGAAATGGTGAATGCTTTTGTTGTCTCTATCTCTTTCTAACGGTTTGCCCCTAAAAGCTCCAACCGCTTTCTTACATGATGATTACAAGTCATTATCTCTCTTTGTGGCTAACAGTTCAGTATCCACATATTCTGTAAAGACAGAAAAGCCACATGTTATTGTATATATTCTAAATAAAATGTCTGTCCATGTTATCTGAAACCCCAACATTAATGACTGGATCCGTTTTTGAAGTAACTGTGTTGTTTGATTCAACTTTGTGTTGAAGTTTTTGTCTTTATATGGAGCTCATCAGTTCCACAGACACTGTGTACTGACCCTGTTTCATCAGCCAGCTTAGACAATTAGGAATGTGTTTATTTTTCCACCCAGAATTAAGCAGCGCAGACTAAACACAGGACACATGTTGTACTGAGTCTACAATACAACATTATAATCATAATATTAACCAAAGTGTGACACATTGACTTGTGTTAACTGTCCCACTTTGTTCATGCCTCAGAAAGTATTTCACTTGAGAATAGAAGAACAGTGACATTAATAGTCCTCAGAACTCAAAGTTTTTATTTTAGAGTTGTTGTTAAAGCTGCAGTGGGTAACTTTTCTAAAAATAACATTTCGTCATATTTGCTGAAACTTTCACTATATCCTGACTGTAGTACATGAGACAGGTAATCTGTGAATTGATCCAAGATAGTTGACTGTCGAGTACAGATGCTGGGAAAGAGCCACCAACCCAAAGTGTCTATCTTTCTTGGCTCTGATTGGTTGTTATTGTTCCGACATATTCTTGTAAATACCATTAGGAGCACTAGAGGAGCCAGAGGAGGTTGATTTTTTTCACAGATTATCTGTCTCGTGTACTACTGTCAGGATATAGTGAAAGTTTCAGCAAATATGACAGAAAGTAATTTTTATAAAAGTTAATATCTATTGCAGCTTTAACTGACACTGATCCACAGAAAAACGACTTTGATATGACACTCCAAAAGGATCAGTGACACAGCCTGTTGCATAACACGTTAAATTGTGATCAACTGTGTAATAAAGTGATTGTGTGTTAAATAGACCAGTATATGGAAGTCCAACACGTGTTAAGTTCATTTCCTGGCAAAAACTACACCCTGAAGACATTCCACACAGATTTTTACATGTTTCCAGTGGACAGTGTAATAATCATTTACTGCTTTTCTCATTCCCTTTGGCTCAGTTTGTGGAATGTTCTCTAAACTTTAAATACAAAGGACTGGCTGCACAGCAGTCATGGAAACTCACAGGTGTATTAATAATTGCAGCATTCAGAGGTCTTGCTGTTGTCCATGCTGGCTCACTATCACTGGGACACTTTATGGAACTGAGCCATTGTTACTGTTAAGTCCACCTGTGTTTTCCTCTTTTGTTTAGCTGAATGCCAATTTGTATCACACTAAGCTTTGTAGATTCAGATTTCAACAGTAGGTAAAAGTCAATACTGTATTATACTGATGTTCAGGTTTCTTGAACCTGTCCACCAGTTTTGAGTGGAACTATAATAATCAGATGTATCATTAACAGAGGGCGCTGAACAATGCAACGACATGTAGAATATGACACGCCCACTTTGGTTCCCAAAGGAAAAACCTGCTGTTTTTTGGTTGTTGCTGGTTCCCTGTTGGTGGCCTAAGAAAAAGTATAGGCATATTTGTGTGCATGCAGTAAATTTATTTGTGTAGCAATGCGTTAACAAAATGGCATCCATGCTAACAAAAACAATGAACAAAACTGCGATAGTTAAGTAAAAAAACTGCAGTTTGTACCTCCTCAGTACACTAGTTGTGATTCCTCATTCATTATTGTAACCTAGCAGATAGTTTGCCAATTTACATCACAAACATTCCATAGACATTTATGTCTGATTATAATAACTGAAAGGATTATTTTTCATGTGATGGCTCAAACGATGAAAAAATGTTTAGATGTTGTAAAGAAATGTGACAGTTTCTCTGAGAATCAACTGTGTTTGATCAGCAAGCCATGTGCAAGTGATTTTTGTGCAAATTGTAGACAGTTGTACGTGCGCCAAAATACGTGCAATTTGCTTGAATGAATGAGATATTCAAATCTGTTATGAACAACAAATGTGATTTTGAATGGATTTTTTTAAAGAAAACTATTCTATTATCATACAAGAATTGAACCAAAGCAAATCATATAAACTTTGAAATGGCCCCGCTTTAAATCCGTCTTGAGCAGGTCATCCTCATCAACTGAGTGTGTTTAGTGAGGGAGGGATAGAATTGTAGGCATTAGGGATGTAACTGAATATAAATCGATTATTGGATATAAACTGATAATTTGCTCTAAACAATGGCAAGTTTTACTGTCCTGTCGACCAACTCACACAATTTAACTATAAACAAAAGAATATTAAGTGTATGTAGAGATTAATTTCTCCATTTGTGTAGATTTTTTTTGCCTGGTTTACTTTTATTCATTTAAATTGTATTCAAGTTCTCACCTCACCTTCAACTGGTTAAAGTCAGAGATTTAACACTCCTCTTTTGATGTCTAATGTTTTTATATGAGAACATTAGGGGTAAATGAAGTACTGCAGTACCATCACAATGGTGTATGTTTTCTGTGTTATAGTATGAGCTGTAAGACGTGCATCATAGTAGGGAATGGAGGAATCCTGGCCAACAAGTCTCTGGGACAGAAGATTGATGAGTTTGATGTGGTGGTCAGGTACGATATTAAGTAGCACACACACTTTACTGCCACTTTTTCTGTTCCTTGAATCAAGGGTCTATAAATTGCATATCAGCATCCCTCTTCTCTAAATATCGGCATCTGCCATTGAAAAATGCCATATTGGTCAACCACAAGTACATTAGTACACTGACAATTTAATAAAAGTTATTATTAGGTACTGTCGTCTTCCTGTCAGCTTGAACCAGTCTGACCATTCTTCTCTGACCTCTCTCTTATTAATGAGGTGTTTTAAGCATGGACTGTCTAATTAAAAATGGCTGTACTCTCCGTGACTGGCCAAGAAGGTTGTACAGTTGCATATTATAATGATAGGTTGTAGGCTGTTTTGATCATTTTGGACTGTGCGTTTTGTGATTGATTGATTGTGCAGCTGTGTGCTGCAGGTTAAACGAGGCCCCGGTGAAAGGTTTTGAGAAAGATGTCGGATCCAAAACCACCATGAGGATCACCTACCCAGAGGGGGCCATCCAGAAGCCAGAACGCTACGAGACTCAGTCCCTGTTTGTCCTCTCTGCATTCAAAGCTCAGGACTTCAAGTGGCTCCGACACATGGTCTTCAACCAGAGGCTGGTAAGGCTGCTGAACTGTTCATTTTGCTGCTGCACCAGTGAATGCAGTTGTGGACAGACAGATGGTAATAGGGGTCACTCACTCATTTCACTCAGTGGCACTAGGTGGACAGTGAGAATGTTTCCATCATCTTGTTTGATTTTACTCATTATTTCATGACCCCAACTACAGTTCAGTCATCAATGTTCCTATATGTATATGATCTAAAAAAGGTGGCTGCACATGCATTCCCTTGTTTAAATAACAAGGCTTTGTGGCATGCAAAGGCCTCTGGCACCACAAACCAAAGGAAACAGCAGCAGGGTACAGGCAGTTTTCTGTGGGGTGAACTAGCAGAAATGAAACTTAATATCATCACAGCAATGTATCAAGGTATTATATTCAGCGTTCAGTTCTCCAGTTGGCAAGACCAGCAGATGGCAGAGGGAGGTCAGGAGAAGACAACTGTGTGAACTTCTGTGTGAAGTCTCTTACAGCTATCTGTCATTTGTAAAGATGCACACCGTTCTGACACAGGTTGCTATGGCTGTACTAGATAACTTTATCGTGCCTAATGCTGGGTTTAGACATGTTTGTCCCTGGCCAATCATAACTTGCCGTCTTTTACGGTCTGTGTGATTTCATCGGGTGGGAGGTATGAGGGATCGACTTCCAAAGCCGATTTCCGGCAGCCTAACCAGTATGTATGGTACTGGCTGTCTTGTGTTGTCTGGACCAGCTCCTTCACACATGTACTTTTATGAAACTTGAAACATGAAGGTACGTGTCCACAGGATTCTCTATTAACTGTTTCCCGTCCCGGCTAATGTCTGCTTTGTTGATGTGTTCATTTGTGTGTGCATGTGTGTTTGTACTCTATTCTTAAACCTCTGCATTGCACAGTGCAGGTACTGTTACAAGTGGTATCTTTAACTCAAGGACATGGCTGCATTCTCTAAGGCTATAACACCATCAAAAGAAAGTATCAGACAGACTATCTGTAGAGCTGTTAACAGCACTGAACTCTGCTGTAGGTAGCGCTGTAGCACATTATGGACAGAAAGATGAACCAGAGATGCAGTGCAGATGTTTTCAAGCAGCCCATAGCAGATTTAAATGCATCAGCAAGAGAAACAGCAGCAGAGACCAGTGTCTTGATTTGAACATTGAATGACATGAAGAGCAACTCTTTTCCATCAACATCCAAGATTTTGTCTAGCAGGTATGGGTTGACCCTGCTAACAGGCCACTAACAGTGTGAACAAAACAACGGACTGGAAATGAGTCAATCTGTCCATACAGTTTGTGAAAGGTTATTGCCTGCCATGCTGTTATGCTGTGTTGTAGAGAGTGAGAGTTACCTGTGTATAATAATGACATGTCTGCATATCAATATTGTCCCTTTGTTTAGGCCTTTAGCTAGTTATTATAAGCCTCAATATCAACCCTGCATACCAAGGCTGCCTCCTCTGCTGTCACGTCTGCCTGTGTCTGTTCCAGCAACTAGCTGTGGGTACAGCCTTTATGATCCTGCATGCTTGAGTGGGAAGGTAACACATTCCTGCAGCCAGAGTCACAACATACCTGCTGTGTACTCCCTCTCCATTCCTCCTCCCTGACAGCAGAGAGCAAATGGGGTCAAATGCTCACAGACCTCCAAATAGATCAAAATAGGAAGATAAAAGCACAGTAAAGCACTACTGTGATCAGCTGATCGTTTGTGTAGAAGACTCATCCCAGAACTCTGTTGGTCTTGTTGAACTACACAATCACCCCTTGTCAGACACTAAGAACAAAGCAAACATTCCGGCGTGTTAACCCACCGCCATCTAACAGCACAATACATAAACAAATGTACAACAAATGTACAAACATATAGGCACAGCTTCCCTAAGCACAAGACACAATATACAAATCAAACTGCATTCATTAGTGCCAGCCATTGAGATTGTGAATTACCTTCCTGGGATTCATTGACTAAAAACACATGCCTATTTAAAAGAAAAAGCACCATTACTACTTGCATTACATTGTTGCTATAGTTCTTGCAAGCTGCTTTGATAGGCAAACCCAACTGTTTAAGATAATATGTCAATCAAGGCACTATTTATAACCACTTGAAGGACACCTAACAGGAAGACAGCTTGTTTGATCACTCAGTTCCCCACCTATTGGCCCTGGAGGGAGGGGAGAAAATGTAAATGTACTCCAAGAATACCTCAGATATTTTTATTACATTGCTTGATTTTGATTGATGCATCTTTGGAGAATTGGTGGCAACATTTTTTGCTCTTTGCAACTCCCAGTCAGAGGGGTGAGTGGGGAGAAAGCAGGAAGCCAGGGCTTCTTGTGAATATTACCAGGGTGGTCCCAGTCCTGGATCACATTTTATCTCCACTGACAGGTGGAAGCAGAGACTGTATGCTGGAGCAGCTGTATTGCTACATCCCAATAACCCTTTGTTGTCTACAGTGGAAATGCCACTTTTTTTTTAGCTCTAGACATACTCTATCACTTTTTTACACTTCAGGTCTATTTTTTATTTTATACGCACATATATTTGAACCATTTTAATTGTCGTGCATAAACCAGACAACAGAGAACATTGCTTCTCAAACTGCTGTCTTAATGGGTATGAATGAATTTATAGGTTTAACAGTTAGCTGCAATGTTGAAATGAAATGAAAGGCGACCCACACCTTCTGTAGATAAAAACGTCTCATTCTAAGGTAACAAAAATACAATTCCTATATTTAGATGATCATACGCTAATGAAAAAATACTTATGAATGTTATGTTTCAACAGCATCTCCCTTTACACTGTCCTGACATCAGAATTACAGAACAATATTTGAAACTTTTGGAATATAAAAAAGACAATCCCAACAATCACGTCCACTTTACAGAGCGGCCAGGTGTTCAGAGGCATGAAAGCAGCCAAGGATCGAGAGAGAGAAAGACTATGGCTTTTAGATGGAGTTGGACACCATGTCATATGAACTTCTTTAAGAATGGTGAACTCAGTGAGTAAAGGCAGCACAGGTGTGACATCTGACACTGCCACACAGCCAGGTTGAATAAACAGTAATGGTGTTAAAGGACTTTAAAGCTGATCAGACTGGTTTCATTTACAACAACACTTTACAACAGAAGATCAGGTTCCCTCCCCTAGAGCAGGGGAGTGCAGACAACACAGCAGTTAACAGACACACACTCACTAGTTATGGATGGGCATGTGTTAGCTAGACAAAGACTGATGGCACAGAGATATGGAAACTGGCAAAGTTTGTTTTTTTTCCACATGATGCATCAACCAATGGCTGTGATTTCTATTATAAGAGAAGAAACCTGCAACCTAAGTCCTACACAAATCTTATTCAGGTTTTTTTTCTATATAAATACCTTTAAATCATAAAACAAGATTAAGTGTCGTTAGCCCTGCTAGCAGCTCTGTGAAGCTGTACATAGCTGTACTCTTGCTAAATGAGTTGAAGCTAAATGCTGCTAATCAGCATTCTAACATGTTCACAACAACAATAACAATGCTATTTGACATGTTTACCATGTTAGTTAAGTATGTTAGCATGCTAACATTTGCTAATTAACACTAAACACCAAGTACAGATAGGAATGTGTTTTGAAGGTATTTGGTGATAAACCGAAAAACTGGACAAACTGACGGCTGAACTGACGGCGCAAGATGAAAAGTTAAACAAAGTTGTTACAATTCATCATTGAGGTGTGTACGAAATTTCTTGGCAGTCCGTTCAGTAATTCTTTAGACATTTTTACTGTTTAAAACTGTTTTTAAAGTTTAGTCATTAGGATACAGTCTGGTAAACATGAATGTCTATACAAAATTTTGTGTCAGTTCATCCAGTACATGTAGTAATATTTGACTGGATGTTCAACTATATAGTTGACGTCATACAAATTACATGGTTGTAATTATATGTTATAATAGTTGTTTACCTTTACCTAGCATGACACTAGTGGCACGGTTCCAAAAATGGCAATGTTTGTCAGTCTATCTTTTTGGTCTGAAATATCTCAACCACTGTTGAAAAAATTGCCATTATTTTTGTATTTATGTAGAATTCAAACATGAGCTTAAATTGGAAAAGTATTTGTGGTACGAAAACATAAAGTAGTTTGTTTGTAATTTTAGGACTCTAGAATACCTCCCAAGTCATTGGAAGATATAAAGGGCCAGATAGAAAAATAGTAATAGTAAATAGTTTGGGAGATGAGTATCATATTTAGTTTGAATGTAAGAAGTTAAGCATAATGAATTATAGAGAAAGATATCTGCCAAATTATTATTTAAACTATCCATCTATGTTCATATTGATTTTATCATTATAATCAGAAAAGCCTAATGTTATTTGTAAAATAGGCGCCTTTTTGAAGAATGTCCTTCCTTTGTGTAAGAAACATGTCATATTTGTATATTCTGTTTGTGCTCCATACCATGTGATCGTGGTCATGAGTTGCAAATAAATTAAATGAAAATATATTCATTGGATGGATTTTGATGACTTTTCATTTTATTTCATGACATAAATGGAAATGGAATATATTATTCATAAGTATGTTTTCATTAGTGTATAATCACCTGACATTAAGAATCGTTGTTTTTGTTACCTTAGAATGAGCTGTTTTTATCTACAGATCCACCACCATGTTTCTACAAACCAAACAGGTAGCTCCAGATAGGGCCTTTCATTTTCTTCAAGAGTTTCACAGCCACTATAGTTTCTCCTATACACTTTACAGCCTGATCTCATTCCCAGGTTGTCAAACACGAGTGGTGTTCAGTTAGTTGCAATTTGCAGCTTTATACTGGTCCTTTAAGTTCCTGCAGTGGAAAAAGGGATATAAATTAAGTTGTGAAGAGTGAATGAGTTGGATACTATTGCAGCTCTACTTAATGACATAGGCTAAACTGATTTACTGTACATAAACTACCGTTGCTCAAGGTAGATTTTATCTGGAGTAAATGTATGTAAACATATTCACTGGTACTGTTATTAAAAGGATGTGAGAATTGCTTGTCATTTGATCCATCTGCTGTGTGCAGATGGGTTTGCCACAGACTGTTGTGTCCTCCCAGTGCTGCCAGCAAAGCAGGGGTGTTGGGTTCCAGCTCAGATAGAAGAGAAAAATGGTCTCCGTCAAACAGGATTAGCATACTATCCGTCAGTGAGGAGCTTAGTGTAACAGGGTAACAGTGCTATGCTAGTAAGCTAATAGCTCATATCATTTCTGTTTGGTTTCTCCTGGCCCCTCACTCCAGCATACCTGAGCAAACTTAGGCAGGTATCCCAGTAACTGTTCATAAAGAGCCATCAGGACTGCTGGGCAGGCTGCTAGTAATTAGTGTAATGGCCCCAGGTATACTGATACAGGGGCTTCCTCCTCTGACTGGCTCTGTTTGCTCCGCTTGTTTTTCATCAGTGTTTTAATGGTGTTGACCTCTCCCCTCAGGCTTCAGCTCAGGGTATTGCTTTCACTGTGCTGCTTAAGCACCATCATATTTTCCACCCCTGTCCACTTTGCATCCCATCCCACCAAGTGATGGTAATAAGAACTGATCACTATTCACAGTGTCAGTATTAATGGTGATTATCCAGAATTAACATTTCAGATAACAGATACATCTGTCAATAATATCTTGTTTTGTGTTTCTTAAAGATTGATATGAACTTCTTTAATAAATACATATAACTAAAAAGCAAGGAATCTGTGTCTGTCTGTATGTCTGACCTTCACATGATTCAACAACCATTCATCCGATTGACTTCACACTTGGCCGGTTTAACACCCAATGAAGTGCAGTGTCTATTTTGAAGCAGTTTGGTGGCACTATAATAACTAGGGTTGGGTAAAGAACTCTGAACTTTTCAAGGGTGCCGACCGAATTACATTGGTACTACTGATTACTGATTCACATTAAATCAATTGGTGCCAGATTTCCCTACCTGAGAGTGCATTTGGGTGAAAGAGTAGACTACAGAGAGAAAGAGAGAGAGCTAGACTAACGTGGGGTCACCCCTGCAGCTTGTTCCATTCACAGTGATTTAGGGCATGCAGGCTGTGTAATGCAAAATGCAAAGCTGGTCAGGGCAGCATGTCTAACCTGAGGATACATCTGGTCAGACACAAAATATATCTCCAAGCTGAAGAATGTAGTGTTACTGTGTTTGATAGCCTGAAAGCAAAGTCCCCCACAAGCAGCTAATGTTAGCACGCCTGTATCTTAATTCAGTCAGGCAACTTCAGTAACATCTTCAGGGAACTAATTAGGTAGTTGGATAAGTTGTTGCTGGAGGTAACAGGGTGTTTTTCACTCTTGGTTGACGTTAGCTGACAGTTTTACTAGTCACAGTAAGCCACAGGGCTGTCAACTCGCTTTTCTTATTACAGAGTAAAGTACCATTGGTTACTGGTACTGAATTCCAAGTACCGGTATCAAATTCAAATTGAATGGTACCCAACCTTATTAACAATGAACTTTACGTTTGGTCTGTAACTTTTGAACGCCTTTTCGTGTCTAGATCAGTTTTCTTTTTGATATTCCATGTACTGTAGTTCTGTTATAGCTAGCCCTAAAAGTTTGCTCAAATGCTGCCATATCTGTCATATCCCCTGAACACTGTGCTATTGCAATGACATTTGGTGGAAACAAAATTATAAACGCAATACTTTTGTTTTTGCGCCCCCCATCGGTCCACTCATGAGCCTGAACCTTGAAAAGATCAACGACTTCCTCACTTATGTACACCC